CATTGTTACAGCTCTGTGGATGTCCGCGAGCAAATGGCGCGCACGGGTGGTTCGACCTCTGGCGGATAGAGGCGAAGCTGGAAGCTGTGAGACGAACGCTGGAAACCCGAAGCGTGCGCAGAACGACTGCTGTCAGGAGAGTGGGCAGGGGACGCAACTGCGAGTCCCCACGCACACAAATAGTGATCTCGCTGGCAGAAGGCCCGGTGGAATACGCAGAGAATTCGGCAGACAGGGAAAGCCCAGCACGAGCAATGGAATGGGCGAAACGAGTGGTCTCATAATGGATGCTGTGAGTCAGCGCTAGCAAGGGCGGCCCAGCGATCATCGCAAATATCTTCAGAAAATAAAAGACGAAAGCAAGGCATAGTAATAATAATAGAAATAGACACGATAAAAGCTATACTAGGGATATTAAGAATAATCAGAACATAATAACAACGATGACAATACTATCAATATGAAACATACTAAGACAACGAACACTAGTACGAATCACATGGGAGGAAACATACGAGGAACATATAATACGAGGAAACATAAGAAGACGACGAGGGTGACGACGGGGGGGCTGACGACAACGACGATGATGAAGACGACGACGACGAATACGACGACGAAGATGACGACGACAACGACGACGACGACAACGACGACGAATACGACGACGAAGACGAGGACGACAACAACGACGACAGACGACGACAACAACGACGACAACGACGACGACGAAGACGACGACGAAGACACCGATGACGACGACGAGGACGACGACAACGACGACAACGATGACGACGACGTTGACGACGACGACGACGACGAAGAGGACGATGACGTCGACGACGACGACCACGACGACGATGGCGACGACGACAATGACGACGACGAGGACGATGACGAGGACGAGGACGACGACCAACCCCTGGACACGTGTTGGGGTCCGTTCTGGCCAGAATGTGGGGGTGGATCCACCCGTGCCCGCGAGGATTTCCTGTGAGGCCCACAAATGTTTCTACAATCAAGATCCTCGAACCTCGGTTTTCGACGCTCTCGCTTCCATGAGAAGGCCAGTGCGCCCGCCCATTCGCGGCAACATCGCGCGCTTCGTCCTCTCACCGGAAGGGGCGCGCGGGCAGGGACGCACAGACGTACGCGCCGCTGCAGACGTTCGAGGGCCACCAGGGGTTCGTCAACGCCGCCGTGCCCTACCCTGGAGGCCCCCAGCGCATCGCGCCCATCGATCGGGGGACCCCTGCGTGCCCGCACCAAAGGTCACTCCGGCGACGGGTCACTCTTGCGTCCAGTCGAACAAAGGACGCTGCGCCCTTAGCCTCCTCCTCCTCCTCCTCCTCCTCCTCCTCCTCCCCCTCCTCCTCTCTCCTCCTCTCCCCCTCCTCCTCCTCCTCCTCCTCCTCCTCCTCCTCCTCCTCCTCCTCCTCCTCCTCCTCCTCCTCCTCCTCCTCCTCCCCTTTCTGTATCCACGCCCCCCGCATCTGCCGCCCTTTCGGGCAAATGGTCACCAGGGCCAGGCGTGTCGGCCGACCGTCCTCGGCGCGCCACACAGGGGGGGTGTTCCTTCTTGTCCTCCTCCTCCTCCTCCTCCTCCTCCTCCTCCTCCTCGTCCTCTTCCTGGTCCTCCTCCTCTTCCTTTCCTCCTCCACCACTCCTCCCCTCCACCTCCTCCTCTTCCCTCCTCTTCCTGTCCTTTTTGTCCTCCTCTCCCCTCCCTCTTCCTCCTCCCCAAATATCCTCCTCCTCCTCCTCCTCCTCTTCCTTGTCCTCCTCCACTCCCTCCTCCTTTCAGCCGCTTTCGATATCGGGCCTATGTCCGTCGACGGACGTGCCCGCGCAGAAGATGTCGTTCAGGTGGTTGCCGAACTCGCTGACCTCGTCCTCGCCACCCGGAGCCTCGCGGTCGGTGCAAACGAGACCTTGCGTCTCGCCTGCTGCTTCGCTCCGCCGCCCGCTTCGGCTGCCGCCGTTTCTCTCACCCTGGACTTGCAGGCTTCGCCACTACGCGTGGCTGCTGCCTGTTCTCGCGATTCCCGCTCTGTAGCAGATGACGTCCAGCTTCGCGCCACTGCCCGCTGCCTCTGCTGCTTCTCGCGCGTCCCTGCCTGTAGCTGGCGCTGTCTGGATGCGCGTCTCTTCTCGCACGGGTATGTCACATATCGCTGGTGACGACAGCGCGCTCTCTAGGCTCTCCTGCTCGCTCTCGTGTGTGCGCTCCTCCTCGCGGCACTCGGGCTCGTCGCCCTCGTCGTCGTCTCCTTCGCTGTCCTAGTCGCGGGCGTATTCGAGGAGGTCTTCGGGGATGCGCACCGCTTCTTCGAAACAGGAGTCGCTGACCTTGTTTGACGCGTACAGGGAGATCGTGGGAACCGTTGAGGATATGCTGGGGAACACCCGCACTCCCGTCTCCCGCTCCACGAACCGTATGTGTTGCAACACCTTGTCAAAGATGTTGTCCGCGCCGGCGCACTTGAAAGGGATGGGGATGTTGTGCGCGTGCGCACGCACACTGCTCGACCATGTCATCGCAGCCAGCAGTTGGGGGGACGGCTCCCCTCCGACAGTTGCCGCAGCTGCGCTTGTAGCTGATGACGTCTTGGTGCCTAGCAGTTCGCTCGCTGCCATTGCCGTCTCTTCTCGCACATGTGCCCCCCCCGAACTGCGACTTGTTCTCGCACACGTGAGTCCCAGGCCGCCGTAGCTGATGATGTCTGGGCGTCCAGCCTCGTGCCAGTGCCCGCTGCCACTGCCGTCTCGTCTCGCACACGACGTCGGGTCTCCCTGCCAAGCGCCACTGCCCGCCAGCGCTGCCTCTTCTCGCACGCGTGTGTCTCTGGCTGTAGCTGACATCGGCTGGACGCCCTTCTCTGCAGCACTGTGTTTCTCGCTATTGTGCACGCCGAGGTTCGTCATTGCTCTGGCTCGTGTCTTCGCCCTCCCGCATCTCAGTGCGTTGTTGCACGTGTGTGTATCCCAGCCTGCAGCTGATGGCGTCCCTTCTCGCACGCATGCATCTCGGGCTGTAGCTGCTGTCGTGTTGCCTCCCAGCCTCGCGGCGTTGCCTGCTGCCACTGCCTCTTCTCGCACGCGCATGCCCCAGCCTGTAGCTGATGACGACTTGTTTTCCTGCTCAGCGCCACTGCCCGTTCACGCTACCTCTACACCTTAGGCGATGCTTAAGAAAACCCAAGTTTTCGGCCAGAGTCTCGATTATTCTTAATGTTTCAATGTAAATCCTAAGATTTTGATAGAAATGTTGGGCCTTTATTCAAGTTCTGAGACTATGAATTTCTTAACCCACGATTTCTTAAGCATTTCGCAGGGTGTAGTCGCACACGTGAACCCCCGACTGAAGCTGATGACGCGTAGCCTCCCAGCATCGCTGCACTGCCTGCTGCCTGCTGCCTCTTCTCGCACGCGCGCGTCTCCAATCGTAGCTGATGGCGCACTGTCCCCAGTCCTGGCACCACTGCTGACGCACCGCTTGCCACTGACTTTGCAGCCTCCTCGCGCGCTCCAGCCTGCAGCCGATGACGTCTGTGCTCTCGTCCCCGCGCCGCTGTCCTCTACCACTGCCTCTTCTCGCACAGGTGTAGCTGATGCCGTTAGGTTTCTATCAGCCTCGCCGCTCGGTGATTCCGATGCCAGCTCGTCTCGCGCAAGTGGGCTTATCTTGCTGGTTGATGCGTGTGAGCCAAGATGGTGGGTTTGAGCCAAGCATGTTTCTGAGCTGTGTGCCGTATCTTTCTAAACATCACAGGGATCACTGCATTGTGTCTGGATGTTTCCTGCTCCAGCCCAGTGGTCCACTCTCGCAGCTAACCCAGATTCTTGAATCCATAATTCTTGAAACCCGTTTCCTCCATGGCCCAGATTATCGATGTCTGAATTGTCCCGAAAAGGTTGTGTCTGATCGCAGACTTGTAGGCCAGAACATCTGCACTACGACAGGTTTGTGAGTGGGCGCTTCGGCACGCAGCATGGAATCGCCTGGGCCCCCTTGCCGCAACGCCTTGATGTCGACTTCAATCCGCCACACTGGTGCCACCATCTCCAGGAGTATCAGCAGCGGGGGCTCTCGGTCTGCATCGTCTTCTGGGAGCTGTTGTGCCTGTGGCCCGATACATGCTCGCAGACCGGAGCTGGCTACTAGAGCCTGGCGCACTGCAGCGCGCTTGATCCTCCTTTTAGGGGGCCACATGCGAACCCTACCCCTACCCCCCACGATTTTTGAGGGGGAGGGTGGGGTTCACTTCGCTCGTGACCTCCCGAATGAAGTGAACCCCAGCCCCCCCCCTCAGAAATCGTGGGGGGTAGGGGTAGGGTTCGCATGTGCCCCCCTACCTTTGTCTTCTCTTTGCCCGCGAAGCGGGCGCGGTCGCCGCCGCCGCGCCAAGGGCCCCGAGGAATGTCGCCAGAGAGTCTCGAGGAGGGGCCGTGTGCACGGCGCGACACGGGTGCGTGCCTCTCGGAGAGAGATCCACGGCGAAGCGCGCCCCCGCCCGCGGGGAGCGCAGGGGCGGGGAACCCCCTTTGGAGGCCCAGAGATGCTGGTGCTGAGAGGAGGGGGAGGAGGGGGGGGGGAGGAGGAGGGGGAGGGGGATGGGGAGGGGGAGGGAAGGCAGGAGTAGGAGGGAGAGGGTTGTGGAGAGAGGGAGGGGGGAGGAGGAGGAGGAGGAGGAGGAGGAGGAGGTGGGGAGGAGAGGAGGAGGAGGAGGAGGAGGAGGAGGCTAAGGGAGCAAGCACGGCGCGAGGCGCCCGCCTCTGGGCCCCCGAGGCCCCGCCCACGCCCCGCCGCGGCCTGGCGCGCCGCCCGCGCCGAGCGGCGAGTGGCCCAGCCAGGGCCGCAGGGACAGCGCGCCGCTGGCCTCCCCCGGGCGGGCGGGGAGTGTAGGGCCGGTCCGCGGGGCCCCCGCGCGAGGGTGCCCGATTCGGGCCCACGACGGCCCGACTCCTCCATCTCCTCCTCCTCGTCGTCCTCCGCCCCC